CTATAAAAGATGGGGTTTGATTCCTACAAAAGAATTGAGTTTTTTTTTCTTTTCTTTTCTTTTCTTTTCTAGCTTAATAATGTAGTAGAGATAAATATTAATTCAATTCACGTAACTTTTATAAAACTCTGGTAAATACCCAACAAAAAAATTTCCTTGAAGATAATATCACCGTTCCAATAATTGTCACTAGGTTTATGAGCATTTGTTTCACCCTAAATTTGGTGCTCATATTCTCTTGGAACCTATTCGGAAGACTGTGAAAAAAAGTATAAGAAACCCTAGAAAGTTATTTTTTTAACTTTTTTTTTTTTGAATTACAAAGAATAGGGGACACCCATTTCAGGAAAGAAAAATTGGCATTAGATTGAAGCCCAAAGGGAATTTGTTCAACCTCACAATTTGTATATTTTCCTATCATCTCCGTAGAAATATTTTTAAAAAATTAAAATTAATTTTAAAAATTTTAAAAGGCTTGGTCATGCCTCCCTTTAAATTTTTTTAATAAATATGGGGTGTTGCCACCGAAGTGGGGAGAGCGGTCCATTATAGCTTTCTAACCATGGGCAAACCAAATTTTATCCCTTTTGATAAGAATCATGAATTACAAATTTGTGGATGTTAATGATGGGGTTGTCATACGGATTTTTAACATAGTCCAATACCTCTTTGATGTATTTAGGGGATATTCAACGGGATGGGGATTTGGATCCAAGTATATGGGATCTATATCCGCATCCAGACCCAATTGAATTTGAATATTCAGATCTAAATCTGGATCCAAAAAGTATACATGGGATATGGATCCAGATCCGAGCCCAGTTGGATCCAAAATATTATTTTATATGCTATTTTTATATCTATAAAGTAATATTAAATAATATATATAAAAAAATACTATATAAAATATGTGTATTTATAAAATAATATATAATATTTTAATAATTGGGTCAGATCCAAATTGGATCCACTTGAGCCCAGATCCAATCCGAATTCTATTAAGATCAAAATTTTAGATTCCGATCCAGCCCGTTGGATCCAAATCTTGGATCCATATCTAGATCCAGATGACAGGGTAAATTCTCGGCTCTATATGCCTACAAAACAATCTTTACATAAATATATCCTCATGTCCCTCTAAAACAATCTTGTTATAAAAATTCTCGTTAATATTTTTTTTTTTCATTAGTGACCTTTTTTTTCTCCTTTTTTATTTTATTTTTATTCAAAATGGTCCCACTCAAACCTTCAGGGTTGAAATGAGAAGACAAATATTAGCTTCAGTTCTTGAAAAGCCGAAGTTCACTCAAATAATAAATTCAGATTTCCAAGATTCGTAGCCATGACTTAAACTATTCGGAAAGTATTGACTTCAAATTTAAAGTCTAAAGTCTAGAGATCCCATTTCTTAAAAGAAATATGATGGAATTACTGAATATTTACAGCTGAACAAGCACTAAAATTCCTTTTTGGAATTACTGAATATTTACAGCTGAACAAGCACTAAAATTCCTTTTTCATTTTAAAATGAAAGGAAAGCTAAGAGATAGCCAAGTAGGGGACGTTGCCACACCGCACACATGAAACCTTATGCATTGAAATAAATGGAGTCTCATGTTGCAGCAACTTCTCTTGAATTGCTTGCTTTTTCCACCTCATCTTTGATGGGAATTTTGTCTTCTGCTTTCTCATTGTTATCGTCTTTGCTCTTTCCCCACATAACGCAATAAAACCCCAAAATTATGAGACATCCCCCAATCACACTGCAACTCATGACAAAATAACCAACCATCACATTATTAGATGGAAAAAGTTTGTATAGAGCCGAGGTTCTAAACAATCAAGTTAGAGACCATTATGTTTTCTAACTAAAAAAAAAAGGCACCATTTATTATATTATTCAACAAAATTTATTGAAATTTAGAATCATGGGAAATGCAAACCTTCCCAAGTGAAGGCGTTCCTTGAGGAAAAAGGCGCTGAGAATCGCAGCAATGATAAGTTGAAGGGGAAAAAACAGGGCAACAAACACCGGTCCTCTCTTGGAGATGCACCAAGCGTTCAAAGAGTACCCAATTGCCGAAACCAAAATCCCCTGCATTGAGCTTCCATAGTGTTATCCAGCCAGGATTGAACCGGTTCTAGGAAGGTATCCTTACCGCCCTAATAAATCCCCATTTTTTAAAATTTCAGTTTTTTTAAATATTTTCTAAATCGTTGATTTGATCCAATTCAAGTTGGCGATCCGGCGATCTAATACGGAATTATGGGGTGGATGATCCATCTAAACAATCAGGATTTTGAAATACCAGTTGGGACTATGGTTAATTGTTGCGAATCAAAGTACAAATCCTCACTTTATAGTCCAACTAATATGGTTTTAAAATTCCTTATACTAATATTATTTAAAATTTCCTTTTGTACAATAGCTACACAAAAACTAGGGTCGGCAACAAACCAGGCTTGGGCCTAGCCAGCCCTGGCTCGGCCTGACCGTTATCCTTGTCTAGGCCTAACCCAGACCAGGCCAAGGAGGCCCAGGCTCAGCCCTATCAAGGTGGGGCAGGACCGGACTAGGGTTGGGCCATTAAAATTATGAAAAAAAGAAAGCATAAAAAATAAGGGCTTGGCAAAGTTGGGCCTGTCTTCGCCCTGACCAGGCCCTTGAGTTATGGTGGCTTGGCCGTTGGGCCACATGTCATGAACCAGGCCCTAATTTTGTAGGGCCAAGCCAGGCTACCCGGCACACTTCCACCTTTAGCTAAAACGTCCATAGAAAGAGAGGTTGTGACTTACATAATACAAACAGGCCAAGAGCTCCAGATCCCAGCCGATCATCCATGGTGAAGCGGTCCTCTCGAAGATCACCGCAACCACTGCCGATTGTAACACACCCAGGAAAGAAATCCACGCATTCATAGAAAGAGTGGCCGGATAAACTTTGTAAATTGAAGCCTGAAGGATCAAGAACACACTCCAGCATAATGTTGAAACAATTGCAAAGCAGGAACCTTTAACCCAGTTTGGTTTCGCATACTTTGCACCACTGGTGCCATGAATGTTAATGGTGGAAGGGACTTTTAGGGGCGGAAACTTGTCACCCTTGTAAAAAGTGAAGAGCATAGCACCTCCTATGCAAATCGAGGTACCCAAAAGCTTGGCTTGCCCTCTGTGCATTCTGATGTTTACACATTCCATCCTGCATTTTGAACAAAAATATTAAGTACCAATTCAATTGAAGAGCAAATAAGATTCTCTGATAAAATAATCATATGCTACGTTATAGTTTCTAGGAGTATTCTTTGATACTTCAGCAAATTGCAAAGCAATTTTTTTTTTTTTTTGGGTAAATAGGCATTTTTATTTAATTGTTATTAATAGGAGAATATATTAACCAATGTTTTAAGACTCACTCTTGGATTCGGCCAAAGGTGAGTTACTCGGGCGAATCTAAGTAAACTCACTTGAGTAGTAGCCATCTCTCTCCCCCAGCCAGAGCACTGCTTTCAAGCTGAGGCAACAACCATTGTAAGGGTGCAAATTAAGAGAGAAATGAAGGGGGTGAGCAAACCACCCCCCTTGAGAGAGAGGGTACCTGGTTGTGAGAGAGAGGGAGAGAGCATATCTGGTTCAGAGAGAGATGGAGCAACACAAAAGGGGGGTGGTGGAGAGAGAGAGTAGTGCACCACCTATTTTCTAAGGAGGTGTACATGGTACCCGAGGACCACTTACCTCAGTCATTGGCTGAGGTCAAGTAGACTCGGCTGAGTCATAAAACATTGATAATTACACACATTTTTACTATACATAGATTTTTCATAATCCTCACCCTTAAAAGGGTTCATGAGAAGGGATTTTCAAAGAGATGGGTCTCCAAGTGATGGGGTTCATAATAAGGGATTTTTAAGAAGGAGATGGGTCTCCAAGAGAGAGATATGGCTTAAAAGAAAGGCGAGAGAAAGTCTCCCGGTTGCTCTCAATATTCTTTTTCTAGGTAGCGGTAGGTGTAACAACATTAATTAAAATAAATACAAAAATAAATAAATTAATTAATTAATAATCATATATTAGTAATGATAATAATAATAAAGAGAATAATACTATACCGTTAGGATATTGTTGCTTTTATATTAACAATAAATAATAGATATCATTGTTAGTATACTTGAGGGTCCAATTTTACTTGGGTAGACCTTAGGTCTACCACCTTAAAGTTTAATAATAACACTCCGTTAAACGACACCTTGCATTGAGGTGTTTCTTTTTTATACATCTTTTTCTCTCTCTCCTCTACACATCTCTTTTAACAAATTTATTCCCACCCTCTCTCTAAATACAAAAAAAAAGTGGCTGGGGTTAATAGTGATTGATGGTGGCAAGAACATGTGAATAGCGTTAATGGCGTTCGATCCTCCAAATTGAAATCAGTGGATAGAAAATCATTTGGGTTCTTTCTTATTTTTTTTTCTGAATTTGAAATATGATCAATCGTAGAAAAGCTCCATTCAAAAAAAAAAAAAAGACTGGTTTTCTTAGTTCTTTCTGCTTCCCCAGTTTCGAAGTTAAAGTAAATGATCGCATTCTTCTGAAAAATAGTTAGTTTTTAATAAATAGTAATATTTCCGTTCAGTATCTTTATTTTATAAGCTTTGTGTGTAAGTGACCTCATTGTCTCAAAAAATAATCTTTTTAATAAAATTGTGATACTTTATCTATTACTAAGAATTTTAAATGTTTAGAAATAAATTTATCTTTCGTGTCTATTATTAGAGAATTTTAGATACT